GTGTTAAAAATGTGATTCGTTTATATTTGCGGCGTTCTCTTATGGCTCTGGTTATATTGAACTCAGGATAATTGTTTTTGTGGGTGAGTTTACTTCGAGAATTCTTGCGAAATTGTTGCAAACTTGAATGGAATTTCACAAATGTCGTCTGCCCACTGCACTGAGACGAAGTTAGAAGAAAGATTGCCTTATTTGATAGCGGAGCGGGTGTCAATTCGTGTTTTGCCGGTGATTTTTTTCTTTCTATTTAACTGGATAAATTCATTGTTACACTCAAATGATAACATGTGGTATGATGGTGCGAAAAGGCCTCTACTTTCATCTGTTCGTTTCTTACTTGTATACATATTGAAATGCAAATGAACCAGAAATTTCTTTGAAGATATGAAAGAAAACGATCGTATGTTTCTATGATAGGAAGAGCTTATTGTTCTTGGTTTTAAAACAGCTTGTTTAAATTCATCCTTTCATAACTAAATGTTTGATATGGTAAACTGCTCCCATAGAAATCTTTGTAGAATGAATGATTATGATGGTCCACGATATGTAGCTGTTTTTCATGAAAGATATATTGTGTCCATGCATATAGTTAAATATTTAGACAAGACCTGTGGTTCTGATTTGATTTCATGAATAGATATTGATGGATTGTGGTCATTCTCAAAATATGTTCCCTTTTAAAATCTGAAAATTAATTATAAATTTGATTTGAATTGAGCTGAATGTTTGAAACACATGGTTTGAGTTTTGTAGCTTTAATAGGTTTCTATACTTTTAAGCAGAAACTTTTGGTGTCATGCTGTATATAGTACAGGCTTCACCTTGCTTATGATGTTTTGTCATTTTTATTAAACCCTCATCTGGTAGGATTATGACATCTCCTTTGAAGTGCAGGTTGGCATGTGACTTCATCATGTTTCCAAACTGAAAATATTACTAATCCCTTTGAGTTTTTAGTTTCATCAGCTGTAAGAAAAATTGAGAAAATGAACTTTTACATATTTATAGCCTATTCTGTAATAGATTTGGATAATGTGATATTTTAACCGGTTTTTAGCCCAGGACAACATTTTAAGATGCAAGGGAAGTGTTTAAGAAGGCAGTATCAGCCCTGTTAGCTTTCTTCATTCCATTGCTAGTCATAGCCCCACTCAATTTTAAAATTTTAACTCTCTTAGATTGTTTGGCCCAATTAAGTTTTGCAAAGATGGTTTTTTTTCCTTTTTTTTTTAAGATCCTTGAATTTGAAGATGAGTATTTCTGTGGTGACATTCAAGATATAGCTGAATTACAGTGTTACTTTAAATACTGACTTGGGTGTGATAATTCTGTGTAATTTGGTTTCTTATCTTGGTAAGATTTTAGGGGTCATTACTTTTCTTCAGGGAGAGTTATTCACAGTCACAGAACAAAAACCATTTTAAAAACAGTGCTTTATAGAGCTTTGCTTGATTTTGGTTGCAGTAATCAACAAAAAGATATTTGATTGAGATGTTCTATATCTCTTATTAAAACACCCTTCCATGATTTGTGGCTCTTTAGAAGTATTTTTTTTTTTTAACTTCAAATAAGTATGCCAATTTTTTCCACACAGGGATTGTTATTGATGTAACATTTATTGGTTTCCTTCAATGTTTAGATCAAGTTTCAGCGAGCATTAATCAGGAATGGAGAAGACTCCAGAGGCGAAAGCATCTCAGAGTGCCGTGTCCAAGTTCCCCTGAAATGAGTTCTTTCTCTTCATATTCACCTGGATCTTCTCCCCCACGGAAAGAACAACCTCTTTTCACTCTTAAACAAGTAACGCTCATCTGTGAAAGAATGCTAAAAGAAAGAGAAGCACAAGTTACAGAGGAATATGATAAAGTTTTGAGAGAAAAACTGGCAGGTTGGTGACTGAATATCATTTTGAGTAGCATACTGGAAAGTTCTCTCCCTTGTTGAGGTGTTTATTTCTAGTTTAGGGAATGCTATCCTGTAATGCTCTGTTGACCAAACATTATGATTTTTGGTCTGTTCATCTCTTTCTGTCATCTGACACCAGACACCAGATTTAACTGTAGTCAACAGGGTTGATTTACATGCTAAAATCATGAAAGGAAGAGTAGCACCTGATGGCATTGGTGAATTGTCTAGCCAAACTACATGTATTCATGGAAGAATTATTCAAATGTGACTTATTTTCTTATTTATATTTGATTTCTCTTTTCTTTTTTAGAACAATATGATGCATTTGTCAAGTTTAATTATGATCAGGTGCAGAGAAGATTTCAAGAGACTGCACCAACATGTAAGGATTGCAAAATTCAAATTTTTTTTGGCAAAAGTCTACAAAAGTGCATATCTTTTTCTGTCTCACCATTTGTTTCATTCTCAGTTCCTTACTTTCATGCCTTTATAAAATTCAATTTTTTTAATGGCATGTGATGGAGACGTTTTTAAAGAAAGACAGGCAGTTGAGATTTTGGTCTGGTTAGCTGCTACCAAGATGTTGTCAAAGATGTCTTCTTTTTAATCTCTAGTCTTCTTTACCCTAAAGCAGGTCCTCTTCATAATACTTTGCTCCAGCTAATGAAAAATGCAATTGATGGCTTTTTTCTAGACCAGTGAAGGTCACGGGAAGCCAGTGATGAGCAACACCCCTCTTATTTGTGATGTTTCTAATTAGCAATGGAATGCTTACAAGTAACACACTGAAGTGAAGTTACTTTGAAAGACCTTTTCTCTTAACCAAACAAGAAATCCTAGATACTGATTATCTCTGTGTTATCCTAAAAACTTGTTGAACAAGAAGAGTTCAACTCTCATTATAACCACTATGTCCAGTATTTTGGCACATTTTGCAGGCTGAAATGGATGTTTTAAATTTTTGCTCAATTTTTTTGCATGATTGTTCAGACGGTTTTGTTTAGTTCATTTTTTTTCCAATGCCCTCCAAAGTAATAATAGAAAGTAGTAATACAGGTTGTTCTTGGGCTTAATTATTTTTTTGGGCCATTCTCAGAGTCAATGTAACCCTGCCTGCTTGGGTTTATATGATTGTGAATTGGGCCCCAAAACAAATTCATGCCTGGGAACATAAACTCCATTGTTTTATTCCACCATGTGAATTAGATATATTCACATGTCTAAGGAATGACAAAAAACAAGTTTTCACTATGGCCCTCAATTTTACTGGTCTTCTCAAGGGTACACATGAAACTTGTGCAGAACTTGAATGGAATTTCCATGAATTTCATGCCAAGCCTGATGCCCTTTGTGAATACGTCAGTGCACACAAGCAGTATCATGGCTGTTAGTCAAAAACATTGTCAATATTGCATGTTCATTTGATGTTACTTCTTGCCATATCTCCTATTTATATTTTGATACATGTCTTGTTTCTCTTTGCAGATGTTTCGTAAACAATTGTTCCTGAGCTGGCTCAGCAGAACACTCATTGTCCACTTCCATCTAGTTGCTATTTCAAAAGCAAGAGCAAGATTTTAAGGAAATGCTGTATAGACAATCATAAGCAATAGTTAATGACAATTACAAGGACTATTTTTAAGTGATCACCATAGAAGACTAATCGTTTCTTACCATGCCTCTTCTTGTCATTGTATTACTAGTCTTAAAAAAAAATTGGTTCATGTTATCCTTTGATCAGAGATCATATCCTCATCCTTTCTGATGTGAAGCGAAGTACTTGTCATTAAAGAAACTATGGAACCAGCTTCACTTCAACTTTTGTTATTTCATTTCTTGTGATTCTTAACTTTTTGGTGTTCACTGTTAACTAGTGTAAATATGTTTGTAAATAAGATTGGCTGATTAATTCAAGTTGTAAATCTGTTTTGTTTCTCAATCTAGAATTTTTGTGTCATTATCTCTGTCTGAATATCTGTTGACATTAAATAGGAAATAGTTGTTAGGAAGCAACAGGGAAATAAAATTTGTTCTGTAAGCAGTCCGGATGGTTTTTTTTATACAGTATTATATTTGATGCTAATCAGCTGTATCTATTTCATCTGGTACTGGTAAACTAAGTTTTCAAGTGGCGGAACACTTGAGGATGATATTCCTCCAATGATGTCTTCTAATTTTAACCTTGCATCCCTTCTGACCAGAGAGGATGGTCAGGAGGGCCCTTTTTTCTGAAAAAGAGACAAACTACCTAAGAATAGTAACAGTCCTCATTCCATACAGTAAACGTGAGATGTAAGGAAAGAAAATTAATTTGAATGAAAAATATGGCAATTGAGGCTATTATTTCTAATTTCCCTGACCTTGCGTGAATGATTTTGAGTAATGGTGATTGAATCAAGTAGAGTCCAATGAATCTGTTGAATCTTACTTACACCAACCTAACCACTTTCTTTGCTCGCCCAATTACTCATGAAGTTTTTATCTACACCTCTCTTTCCACCCTTGCTTTCCCTTGGTAGTTTCGCATAGTTTCTTCGTTAAAGTACGTTATATATTTATCTACAAGAGTTCCAAGATGTTGTCAATATGCGAGTGGTAACAGAAGAACCTTTGGATATTGTTTTAGCCTTCAGTAAAGCTTATGCTTTCAAGTAACTTTTCGTCAACGTGACCCAGGATATTACGGAGCTTGGGTTCTCGTTGACACTTGACCAGTGTGGTTTGAAGTGATGTAAGATAAAGCAGGAAATGGAAGAGTCATTATTAATCGAGAATCGTTAAGTCCATGAGTAACCAAGGTCGCCATAACTATGATCTCCATCTCGTCCCATTCACGATTTTCAGAGAGACTAAATAGAATATATCTCATATCATATCAAGTGATAGTTATTTTGCAGTTGTATTTCTTGACATGATATCGATTTTGGGGGGGTTCTTGAATTGAGAAAAATTAAACGTAAATGGCGAATCGTCCAATATCATTATTGTTGAGTTGCGTGATGTGTTCCTCCTGTTAGCATTTATTCCTTTCCGGCCCTCTTCCGTTACGTCATCGGAAGGAGTTCGTGGACTCGGTCGCGTTCCGTGAAACATTCGAAAGCATGCGTTGACGCGAGAAGGGCCCGCGAATTATTCATATCCCTTCTGTTCTCATGACACATTGGGGAAACAGAGTGTGCGTGTGTGTTTGTGATGGCAAAGTTTTCTGTCAGAAGACACTCTGATCCGTTCTTTGTTATAGCGTTGAAGGAGGCCATCGTTAAGATATCCGCTCAGAAACAGTGTCCGAATGAAGGCAGGATTGTTCGATCGGTCCTTCAAGAATTCGATTGGAGTAAAACGGAGATACAGAAGCAGTTAAAGTTCGCGGTTAAAGATGGTTTGATTCTTCAGGTGACTACATTTTCTAGCCATGGGAGTACTAAAGGAATCCCCCAAACTGCTTACAGGATTCTTCGGAAAGATGGCGAAGACGAGGTGAGTACCTATGGTTTCATGTCTTAGAACACGCGCACATTCATCGCGCAGGAAGTGGTATTCGGGATTCGTTTTACTACTTCCAATTGTTTATGTATTAAAGGCTTATAAGAGCGGGGGCGTTTCGATGACTGGTCCCATCTCTAACTGGTTTTACCGTTGAGAGAGTGAAGACGACGTTTGTGATCGTTTAGGTCATGTTTGTAACTATTCTTGTGCGTCTGAAGCATTTCTGTTTAGGCAGTTACACTTCGATGGTTTTCCATCATGCTGACCCGAACATGCAAATTGAGATTTTAACAAAACAAGAATATTCATGACACGAAAAAATACAAAAAAATTTTATTAATGGAACTCTTTCGAATATAGAGTATCATTCTGTTGGGGGATTTAATCATTTCCTCCGGAGCTAAAACATAGCGAGTTGTGTGTCGTGCGACCAAGCCGGTGTATTTCTGCTTTTTCGGATGGTCCTTATCATGCAGATTAGCAGCGCTTGTGTCTCATTGTTGTATTCCACGTTAAAGAAGCTTGTCTATGAATATTTATTACTGTTTGCGGTCACTTAAATGCTGTTGCCCTGAATTAACAAGTGTTTGACTTGTTGCGTTGCTAACTCCACGTCATTTAGCTTAACTAAAGGAACGCTTGGGTCGTTTCTAAACATGGCAACTTTCTCACTCGTGCAACGCTCTAGTCATTACCCCTTCTCGGGTTTTTGCACTAACTCAGCCGGTTCGTGTTCTTCTCATTCCTTTTAGTCTCTCAGACTTAATCTGTTCATTGGTTCCGGCTTCTGACTTCATTTGCATCTTTTTTATCCGTGTTGGTATAATTTACTTTCCCTTCGGCTCTTAATTATTTAATACTTTTTTCAGCTTTTTCGCGTGAACGATTTTCGATCCAAAATGCATTCGTAATACAGAATTTGTAGAAATACTCCCTAGTTTGACGGTTGTAATTTCAATTTTATGATAAAATGGTGCTTTTAGCATAACGAGAGAATATTTGAGCCATTGATTCTGACTTTTGTAGGTGTCGATGCTTTGAAAAGCTTAATCTTACGAAGAAACAATCGATTGCTTTGTTGAAGCGATATTGTTCGTTCTTGATAGTAATCTCAATCCTTAGGTTAAGAAAAAGTTTTATTTGTATTTAAAACAAGCTTAAAGCAATGAAACAAGTCATTTTTGTTAATAGCCTTATAGTTTATTACTGTAGTGCAAGCCACTTTCATGCATCAAACCTCCATTCAAATTACGAAAACCTTTTGTTATAGGTCATTTGCATATCTTATGTATGACATCCAAAAAGTTAGATATCATCACTATGGCTTGAAGTTAATGTAGCAGAATTCTTTTAAAAACCAGTTTGTGGTCAAAATAAAAAATTGTCAAGTCCGCTATCATAACTACATGGTTAGGAGTTCAGTCTTAGCCAAGAGAGCAAAGTGTCAGTCCTATTGTCTCTGACATGGTAGATTCTCTCGAGGCACTTAATTCTACCTTTGGTAGACAGGATGAAGTAGTTTAGATTAGAGTTTCAGACAGATTCCCTGAGGGGTCACAAAACAAGACTTGTTGGTTCATTTGTGGAGAGTTCTAAATAATTAACAATGATAACTGGAGGATGTTTAGTGCAGTTGCAAGAATTATAAAGGATGAGAGGTGTTTTATCTGCTGAAACAAAAGGCAGAGGTGGATAAAGCTAACCTAGGTCTTGACATTTCTAGTCCCAATCTTGCAAAAAGCAAATTAAAAAAATTTTGTGACATCACTTTACATGCATATTCAAGTAAGCTATTGTTTGTAGTTATGACATAATGAGAACATAGCAAGCAGCTGATAGAATGGACTTCATGCTTATAGTCAACCTGCTTTGAGGTAGTATCATTTATATATTATTATAGTGCTGATTGTTTGGAGAGCCTGTGTTCTGTCACATGCTGCATTTTCAGTGCCAATTGGGCATGCTGGGAACGTTTTTAGTGGTGTGGTGTCATGTGCTAGCAATGTATGCAAATTCTTGTTTCACCTTGTAAGGTTTGCTGAATTAAATCATGGTTACACTGCTGGAGCCTTGTCTTTGATAATCTTAACCTCCACTAAAGGACAATACTAATGGACCAGAACTGCCTGCATGGTCAGTGAGACCATGTTACAGGGGATGAAAATCTTTCTTAACCTCTGGGTGGAAAATTGAAAAAAAAATTCACTTTTTGGCCTTGTTTGATAGTTGAAGCACAACTACATGAAATTCTGTGCTCGCATTAAAAGAAGAAACAGCAATCAGATAGGCTGAATGTCTGTCATAAAGATGGAAGTGGTCAATGTCAACAGACATTATATGCAAATTTTTTTTCTCGCAACGGAAGTAAACCAGACAATATCGGGCACTTTTAATTCAAAACATACAAACATCTTGTCACCAAAGTGGTGTCTAGACTAGCACTACACCAACCCCTTTGTCACATTAGCTTCATCTCCATCACAGTCTCTCTAGCCCTGAATCATATTAAACAATCCAGTTCAGTTACCAGAAAAATACTTTAGAATTCTAAGTGCTCTTAATTTCAGTTTTAATTTTGTTTGTTTGTTTGTTTGTTTTTTTTTTTGCCTTTGTAAGTTTTCTGCTGTATGATTGTTAGCTGAGTACTTTAGACTAATAAAAATCATTGTACATAGACTTTTTTACTGACAGGGTTGAAGGTTATTCAGCAGTTGTGCTCTGAATTTCATATCAGATCTGTGTATAAGATCTGACATTCAGCAGCTGTAGCTGGCTTCTATAAAAAGTTTCATTAATGTCTTTTGTTATAAACTCAAGGTTCAACAGCAATATGTTAGTGGTTGACTTTATCACAGCTTGCCACCAAATATCACCTGCTTTACACAACTAACCATTTTCTTCAAAACTTAAACCAAAGCCTGTAAAGAATTGCCTTTTTTATTTATTTCTTTGTCATCAGGATGAAATAGAGAAGCAAAAGAAAAAATTAAGTTCCAACACTCATGACTGGTATTGCTGGGAATGTCACAAAGCAGGAGAAGTGATTGCATGTGAATACTGTCCTCGTGTGTTTCACAGGAAGTGTGCTCATTCTGGTACAGTTGCAAATGGCAAATGGAAATGCCCATCCTGCCAGGTAATCAGTAATTTCTTTGTTCTGTGTACAGGCTGGAGACAGAGTGACAGGGGCTACTCTAGTGGCCTCTGGATGGAATGGTCTGGGCTCCAGCTCTGTGGGGTCATAGTGTTGTGTTCTTAGGCACAACAATTCTCTTCCACAGTGGGTGTCTCCACTCAGGGTAACTTGATGAAATGCAAGGGGCTTATCTGCAATAAACTGGCATCTTACTCTAGAGGATTAATAATACTCCTGGTCACTTTCTGCAACTGATATACTCCTGCAGCTGTGAGCTACAGTGTGGTACACAGTGTTTTTCTTTCCAGGCAGTAGCTGGTAAATTGACTCCTAGAGTACTGTTATCTCATCTTACTGGGTTGAAATGGCTGATAATTATTGAAAATTGAATGGAAAAAGGATTGCTCTACAGGTTTGAAAATTTCTTTCACCTGTCGTCCTCAAAATAAGGGAGAAGTTTTCATGCATAATTCATATTGTTTGAGTTGAATGGGATGATATCAGGTTTATTTTTAAACTTCAAGTTAGTTGATGTCTGTCTGGACAATTTTTTCACAAGTGGAAGTGATAAAGGCTGATAAAGCACCCACTTTCATTTAAACATTTAAGCTTCTGCAAGAGCTACCCTATGAAGTTGTAAAGAAGGTAATAGAAATATTAACTTTGGTTGATCTTATTTTTATTGTTATCTTTGCTGTTCCTGTGACCACAGCCCCAGAAGCTCTCTGCCTTGATGGCAAACAAGACACCAGACCAGCTTGCTAAATTGCTGAAATTTACTCTGGAGAGAATGAAAGAAAAGGTAACTCAGTATACTTCTTGTGGTTTTTTTTAATATTGTCTATATTTATGCTAGGGAGGGGTTTTGGAAACTCTAAATGGTAATTACATCTCAAAAGGCAAAATATTCAAAGGGAAGTGTGAAGGAAAGCAAAGTGGGAAGTTCAGATTAAAAAGATCACCTTTATTTCTTACTGAAACTTGACAATCAAGGCTAAATTGTGTTGTTTACCTAAATACATCTGCAAACTTAGAGAGGTTCTTTTGAAATCATCATATGTGACTTCATAAGCATTTTACAAAAAGCCAGCATACACACATGTTGCTCAATTGGATAAAACGATCATATATGTGCTATAATATTAAAACTTCACATGAAATTTGCTGTGATTTGTTCACATATGCATGGTAGCCGAAAGAAAATTTTAAGAAATACCAGATAAGTTTTCCAAGAAATTATTAACCTGGAAATTATGAAAATCTAGTTTTTAGGCTCAAAAATAGGGGGCGACTTATGCATGGGATCGACTAATACTGGATTAAATACAGTAATTGTGTTGGTGAGGGTGAATAACAATGCAGGAACTTGATTGAAATCAAAGCCATTGTTACTTGTTTGTTCAGTGTTTTTACATATTTGTGGCAGAAACCAATTTGTCCTTTTCCTTCTGAGGACTGACTGTTAAGACATTCATACTCTGCAATCAACTTGTACTTTATGGTGCAAGCTGCATTACCACTTCACAATCAAAGTTGCTGTAGGAAGTTATTAGATTGTGAACAAATTATCAAGTTATTGAAAGACATCAAGTTATCAAGTCATTTTTATTAAGTTTATATCACTGATGATTCTGTTGAAACATTAGAAGTTGCTCTTGAGGAAATTCTTGACTCAAGCAACAGTTGTTATTGGTCATACCATGTTTTTTGGCAATCCTCTTTCAAGTTAGATGTATATTAGATATGCAGTAGGATTGTCTCTCTATGTTATTGAGAGGTAATAAAGTAAGTGACTGTCTTTGGCAGGCCAAGGAATTGATGGAGCCAATTTCTCTAGATGAGCATCCAGATTATGAGGACTTCATATTCAAACCAATGGATCTTAAGAATTTAGAAAAGGTTTGTAATACATAGTGTTTTCTGGAAGCACCAGTGTAGGCTGCTCTTTTCTTAAGTGGCATCTGCTTTAATCAGGTAATTGGTGGCTGGCTTCTGATAAATCTCTGATGAACTCTGGCTTTCAAACATGGATGAAAAATACACAGTCAAACAAATGCAAGACATGTCTCTACCTGGCTTTGTGTATTCCAAAGGATGAATTAACTTCAGTTGTAAATCTCACTTCACAGGTTAAGAGATGTAAAATAGAACTCAGTATTCTTGCATATATGCCAGATGGTTTCAAAAGATGTATGAGTTTATGCTTAGATCTTATCTTTTTATATATTTTGTGTAACAGGTGTGATGCAATGTTGCATTTTATTCCGCAGCTGGTTGAAAAGAAATCATTTAAGTCTCCTAAAGAATTCAGGGAAGAATCTCAATGGATATTTCACAATGCGATCATTTATTTTGGAGGTAATAAAGAAATATACTGTTAACATAAATCAGAGTTCTCAAAACAAATAGGTACCTATCTTAAAGCATACAGGTGTGCTTCTTGGCTGAAGTGTTGTTGGTATGTAGCGAACAGTTGTGATATTTGGCAGGAAAGTTCTGATAAAAGGTAAAAATTCTCTCTATGAGAGGAATTTTTTTTTTTAGGTGCACAAGCTTTACAAGAGCTGTAACTCTTTCAGTACTTAATCAGTAGGCCACTTCTTATTGGAAACTTCATTTGGAATTTGAATGAAAAGTTATAATTTTTGTTTTGTAGATGATGATGATATCACAGATCTTGCAGAAGCCATCATGGAAGACTGCGATGGAGAGGTGGGTACCTAATGTAAGCAATTTAGTGTAGCCTTTGTCAAGGAAGCTTGGTTGTCACATGCTAAATTTATTTTGGGTTTTTTAAATTTTTTTTTAATTTTTAGCTTGAAGAGATGGTTAGATGCCCAGACTGTTACTTGATGTCAAATTTACGAACTAAAAATTGGTTCTGCAAACCTTGTGTAAGTATTATTTGAAAATATGTAATATCCAAGGTTTGATGATAATTTTTAGGGCTTCTCCATTTAATATTAAAGCTGATGATTAGATTCTCATTAATTTTGAGTTAAATAGTAAAATTAAAAAGGGATGCACCTTTCCTCTAGAGCAAGTATGTAAAAACAAAGATTAAGTAACCTAGCCAAAATTATGTCAAAACTCATACTAAAACTTCAGAAATGCAGCAACAGACTTATGTTCCACATGAGTGACTGTTCAAAATATCTTTATGTCACATTTTAGTTGTTAGAACAGACTCCCCCTACCTCCTCTTCAATCAGTTTAATGAACAACTAAAAACAACTCTTCATGTAACTCTGATGATGACTTCTGCTCAGGTTGTCAAAATGTCAGTCACTTCTACAGACAACAGTCCATCTCAGGACTCCTTCACCCAGATAGTCACACTACATACTCATTTCTGATGTTGTAAATAGTTTTTGGATCAGTAACTCAGAGTGGGATTTCCTTTTTTTTTTTTTTTTTTTCTTTTCGATTACAGTATTTCCCCCATGAGCTTGTGTGGGCAAAGATGACAGGGGAACCACCATGGCCTGCTAAGGTAAGGTGATCTCATTGTTTTTGTGCATCAGAAAAATTTCAATCCTATTTAGCTCTGCAGCATAAATCAGGCCTATCAAATGTCGCAGAGACAATGTTGTGATACTTTGATTATCGTCAAAAAGTGATAGGTAACTGTATAGAGACATGCTATGTTGTTGTGATAACATGTTGGCAACAGTTATGTGATTTTTCTTTCAGTTGTTGAGTTGGAATAATGATGAGACGAAAGCTCTGGTGCGATTCTTTGGGGCTGCACATCAAAGGTATTAGTGTATAATAGTTGAAATTATGTTTTTCATTCTGTTGGTTTTTTAACCTTCAGTAGTTCAGTCAAGCTTTGTTCGATTGAGATAATTGGAAAAAGAATTTTGAAAAACAATGAATAATTTTTTTTTACACAACTGAAGTTCTTTTTTCCGTGTCAACCGATAGGGCCTGGGTTGGCCGGAAACACGTGATGCCAATCACAAGTAAGCCGGAAGTCAAAAAACGATCTCAAAGATGGGTCCAGGCTAATGAAGAGATGAAAGAATATCAGAGGCAGCTGGCTCTGCTGTACCCGGACGCTAATAAAAAGGTATACGATGCTTTACAACGGTGTGATTTCCTCAGCTGTCCACAAAGAGAGCGCTGAAAGAGTTGGAGTTCCTTAGGTCGGTCGACATGATCCATTTTTCAGTCAAGGACCAAAAGCAATATAGGATTTCGTTCGTTTGTGCCTCGTAGTCGAGACATTTCACTCCCTTCTGAGCCAATCAGAGGCAAACCAAAACTAGCTTGTTCAACCGTGTCTAAGGTAGTTTACGGGTTATTATTTAAGTTCTTACATGTCTCTCTGTTGTGATTTCTTTTGTTACGGCATTATTAGACAGTTTTAAAGCGCCCTGAACTGATGGGAATCACTCTGTTTTAGGAAACTACCCCTCTGCCAAAAACCGAGACCAAGGAATGTCAGACGGATGTAGTCTTGAATGAGGAAGACAAAGAAAAGATAAAACAGTTGGAAGAAAAGGTTCGGCAGCAAGAAGAGGAACTGAAGTCACTCCAGGCGGACTTGAAGTGCGAGCGGGAGCGCGCTAAGCAGCTGGTCGAAGGAGCGAAAAAAAAGAAGGAAGAACAAGACCAACGAGTGTTACGTGACAAGTCTGTGAGTGAACAGAAGGAAACATCCGAGAACTGTGGCAGTAGCGGCCCAACTATTGACCTTTCCATGACTAGGGATCAGTCAAGTGTTATAAAAATGTTACAGGAGGCGCTCGAAAGAGAGAGACAAGATAAGAAAGAACTTATAGACAAAGTCACGCGTGATACTCAAAAGAACAGGGAGCGTGACATACAACAGGCTGTGAAGAGAGCCGTGAATAAGGAGAGACTGGAACGAGAGCGTATCACAGAGGAGGCAGTGAAGAAAGCTGTAGAGAAATGCAAACAGGAAAGAGACAGGCATACTCAAAAAACGCTGCAGATTGCTAAAGACGAGGCTGAAAAATCAGTGCAGGATGCAGTCAGCTTGGCTAAGAAGAAACAATGGTGTGCGAATTGCCATGCCGAGGCTTTTTATCCGTGTTGTTGGAACACAAGCTATTGTACTTTGGAATGTCAAAAGGCTCACTGGTGCTCACATAGGTTCCATTGTTTGAGGGTTACTTGTAGCTGCAATCGAGATAGCCCGATGACGCAATCGTGACGTCATGATTAGCCCACGTTGACCGCTGGTCTCAATAATGTAAGGTGACATGTACATGTAATCATGGTAACAGCTGGGGTTGTCTGATGTAGCAAGGTTTGTTTGTTAAGCGGCGTAGTCATAAATTGTATCCCGTTCGCATCCAGGCTCGAATTCTTCCGATCTTTTAAGTCTGCTTATCGTTTCTTCAAGAAAAGAAACTTCTGGGAAGTAGCGAGGGCTTAATCCCGAACTGCGGCCGTTGTCGAACCCAGTTCACTTTGAGTTCTTCCGTGCGAACGGGATATGTAACTAACAGTGCAACCCTACAATTACCCACAATGTTCTTTTCTGAAACACTCCCTAAATTAGCAGACTGCATCACTTGAAAGTGCTGTCAATATTTCACCATCAGTCAGAGTTCATAGAAGCTGAAACTTTTACGTAAACCAACGATAAATGCGTTGTCCTGGAAATTTGTGCATTGGAAACTTATTGCCTTGTTTGACAATTTCGTGAATTGAAGCAAGCTGAGGTAATAATTACAAAGTACCAGCCAAAGTAATCAAGTCATGGTGAAACCTTTTCATGGAAAGATAACGAACGGTTTGACATATTGTTCGTTTGTAATTTGTACATTCCTTGTAAGTGGTGTCGCTTATTTCGCGTTTTGCTTTCGTTTTGTTTTGTGTGTGCGTTTTTATATGCCTTTTGTATGCCTTCCTCATGCTATATATTTTGTTTTTTTTCCTTTTTTTTTTCAGCTGTTTGTTCTTTTTTTGTATTTATACCTTTTTTACAATTTCCTTTTTTAGATCTTTTTGTTTGTGTGTTTGTTTGTTTGTTTTTGTCTCTCAATGCTCTAACCTTATTCCTCGTTATAATATTTCGGTTGGTTTCTTCTTTTATAGATGTGGCTTTTGTAAAAAGTTTCAAGTTTCCTTTTTTTACTGGTTTAGTTTTTCGTATTCTTGTACCTACCTTTTTCAAAAGGCTTTTCCAACGTGTTTCCTATCTCAGTGCTAGCAAGGCGCAGCGAAATGCTATCGACAAATTAGTGTGCCCGCAACAAAATAAAATTTGACGTGGCATATTTATCGACTAAAAATGAATTCACCTAGAACATACATTACGACTGAACACACATTATACAGAATCCTTTTAGTAATGTCTGCATGAAAAAGGAGACTGGACCGTATGTTTTCTTTAACCGTAGTTCTGCATTAGGAAAACGTTTTCAGTTTGAGAAAATTCCGAATTCTAAATTTCTATTTTTATGATTGCATCCAAAGAAGATGCTTGTAAATAGAGCAAAAACGAGCTAGTGTAATTGTGTACTGTAACACTATGCCTCGGTGGAGGTTAAATGCCTTCCAAGGCGGTAGATTCTGATAGTTTTGATATGAGGTTAAATTCAAATGCAATATTTTTAAGATCATCAGTCTAGAAGATTAACTTCTTAAACAGCATTTGTTTTTTTATTCAACTAATTGTGCAGTATACACATTGACGCTTTCAATCTAGACGTCATAATAAAACTCTCCATACAGATTTTGCTGGTTTGGAGATTGTAACCTTGAGGTTAATATGTTATCAGATTCTCCTAAATTTTGTTTTTCTTACAAGGAGAAATTAGAAATTGATCGCTTCCGGGAAGGAACGAGTTCACTGAATTGTTATGAAATTAGAAACGAAAAATGTTGAGTAGAAATAGAATAAGATTCCCAAAAGAGTTTATTATATGATTTGGAAGCGTGTCATAGTTCCAGTTTTAATCCTATCGACGCATAAAACAATAGCAATACCCAGATCCCTCTCGCGTCTGCGCCTTTAAAAGCGTGAGAGATCCAGCGACAAGATCAAGTTGGGGAGTGTTAAAGGAAAAAAAGCCTGGAGGAAATTATATTTAGCGCTCAAACTGACCCTAAAGATTTTTTTCCCGCTTTTCTGTTGTATTGCTGTTGGTATTTTTGCTGCAGTTTAAGTTTCTTTTCATCTGGCGTCATTGGAATAACTCGAATTAGAGGAAATTTAGTTATCATCCAGAACGTCAATGTGAGTGACAAATTTATTCTCTAAAATGAAGACAAATTTACCACTGTACATTGTTTGCTTGGTGGTCCTTCGTTGCAGTTATATAAAATTTAAATGAGTTTGTACTGCACTCTTCAGAAGAAAGGAATATAATTGTTCGTGTGTACAGATAAGTCGTCGGAGCTGGCAGCCTGTTATGTACGAAGAGTATAACCTAGTACTCGGACTGTTGACGAGTGGGGTTCGTGAATTGCCGGAATCATAAGAATTTAGGCTCGGCTCCGTAAGTGGCAGTTTTTGTACGCACGAAAAATGTTTAAAACGTAAGGCACTGTTTAAGGAGGAATTATTGGTTTTTAGGGGTAAATTTTATGTTAACTTAAGTTTTGTGAGTTGTTTCAAACGCTTGACCCTGTGAAGAAGGTTAAATGGCTAGAAGTTTTTAAATCTTGGTATTTATGAGTAGTATTTATTAGAGGTAGTGCACTGTCCATGACAACTCCCTGCTTTTAGGGTTTGGTTTGGTGTATCATTTATTTCCCTCTGTTATTCAATATGCCAATTATCATAGCAAACGTATTTGCTTTAACCAATCAGAAAGTGGTGTTCGCTTTGACAAAGAGCTAACGCTCGAGCCTCTTACTAAATTGCCCTGTTATACTCTTGCACCTACGCAGCACCTCAGTTTCTTTGGAAACTTACTCTCTTTATCTCGACTCTGGCTCATCATGCTTTGGAAACTTAACGTGAGGTGAAGATGACCTTCCACGCGCTTTTTGTTGGTATCATAACCACATTGCAGCACTTTCGCATCGGTCACCCCGTTTTCTGATTGGTTTGTTGCATAATCTACTTTGTTGTAATTGGCTTACCTTGTGTAGATGACACCTCTTACGTCATTGGGAACACTAGGGTGAACTTTAGTGAATGGCTGTTAGGCAGTGATTAAAGATCGCAAACAGTTGATGTGATATGGGTATGTTGTTATTTTTAAAAAAAATTACTCCATTATCAATTTCAGATTTATGCCTCGCCAATATAAGTATTACGGATGAATTAAAGTATTTTTTGATTCCTAGAATAGATCAAAAGGAAAAAAAGGAAAGGAAATTGCTTTCCCCCCCCCCCCCTCCCCAACTCCCTGCCTATCATCTCGGTGTCAGTCAATAAATCAATTAAGTAAACGGTATCTTTTCGTTGAAGTTGGTGAGCCCAGTGGAAAAACAAAATCATGAAAAAAAGGAAAGGAGAAAAACAAAGAAATAAAATCGTGACCCATCGTTACCCAACGATTTCTAGCTGTGCAGACAAGACCATGAGAATGTCTATGTTTTATCCCTGAGGGCACGTCTAAGTCTACCGACACTACCTCTGAAATAAGGCGAAGACAGATTCCTCATCAAATCATTGGCAAATATTCAAAGGTTATTTTACAAAAATAGAGTTGATATTTTCCCGAATTATTTCTCCGCCCTTTCGCAAAGATGCTGGACTCCTAGCCGCGGATTTCGAAGGGTGGATAACGCTATCCACTGGACAAATCACTATCCGTTGGATAATGTCGTACGTTTTGTTTTTTGACGCATATCCGCTGGATAGCGATTTAACAATATTGGACTGGACAGAGTTATTTTAGAACACAAGCCGCACCCAGGCCGCGCCCGGATCGGTTAAAACAAGAAGGCGACTTAGGCGATCGAGTTAGGAATTCGCTCGCTGCGAGAATGCCTTGGTTTTCCACAGTTGCAGAGTGGCAGACGTTTCGTCCCGACTCATCGTTAGAAAAAAAGTGAACCAAGATCGTCAATAATTTGATTGATCTGAACAAAATGTTATCTAACTGCGCTTTGCGGCCGCTTCGCCGATGTCTCCCTGATACAAATCATCCGACATGTTTTAATTATCTGCCTACTTGTTTACTTGCGTTTTCTCGTTCACTTTGCATCGCCCATTCAATGGAAGCATGGACTATTGACGGATATGGTTCCAACGATGTTTTAGAACTGAGCAATGTACCGTTGCCCAAGCTTCAAAAATCAACAGATGTTTTAATTCGTGTACGCGCAGCATCTGTGAATCCAATAGACTACAGAATGAGGAGTGGTTATGGTCAGACTTTATTGAATTTGTGGCGTAAGGCCGAAAAGGTGGACGAATTTCCACTGATTTTAGGAAGAGATTTTTCCGGAGAAGTGTTGAAAACAGGAAGGCTAGCCAGAAGATTTGAAAAAGGGGATGAGGTAGAATTTTGTACACAATTAACTTATCTCGTAACCTACGAAGCGGCAAGGTTGCTTAAATATGTTGACTATGAAATAAGCAGTGCACGACGTTTTAATGGTGAGACTGTCAAACGTCTCATGTTTATTAAGACGCCATTTATTTTGGCTGTGATGCTATCTTAAGAAGTTTGAAATCAGAATCGAGCTGAGTTGTTTATTGAAATATACTTACTACAAAGTTTAAATTAAGATATGAGATGATTGCTAGAGGCACCTCAAGTATTACCAACGAGAAGAAGAGGATGTTAAAGTTTCAAGTTGATTGGTATATATCAAAACATTTTATCTTTTATCTTAGAAGGATGCAGATTTTGTTCAGAAGTTAAAACTATTTATTTGTTCTTCTCCACGTTCTCTAAGGTTTGGGGAACTCCAAGTGTAATTTCTGGAGGGACACATGCCGAGGTTGTAGTTGCCAGCCAAGATGAGGTAATTTGATTTAGTTTAGTATCGAAAACACCGATAAAGTGTAGATCAATTTGTTGCTGTTGGTGCTAAAGACATTTTTTTTCTGTCTTGGAATACTGAACAGTAGATCTCGATAAAACCCTCAATATGGACCCACCAAGAAGCAGCATCTCTTCCATATGTAGCGTGCACAGTGTGGACAGCTCTGATTAGTAGAGCAGGCCTTAAACCAAATGAGTGCCACAAGAAACGGCAAGTAAATCATCATAAGCAGAGATATGATCTTTGCAGGTGGACTGCAATTTAAGCAATTGCTGAAAAGAAGCTTTAAAAAAATTGTTTGGCAAATTTGGTTCACTTTAAGCCCTGTGCATTGTAGCTCAGGTAGTAGTAACATCAAGCTAGTATTTGGGCAGGGGTTTTGAATCCAGTCTTCTCTGAAATTGCTTAAGTTGCCTCCCACAGGCAAGAGTCATCTCTTTACTTGATTTTCATGTGCTCTTCAAATGAAATTTGTTTCATAAAAAAATTGTAAAGCATCTTAGATGGGCTAGTCAAGTTAGATAGTAACCTCATGTTTTTACATTGCCCAAGACAGCAAACTATACGACGTAGTTGTGTCAGAGGTATCGCCCTGAAAAGTAATACTCTATGACTGAGTGACCTTTAAAAGTTTTCAAAATGTTTTAGGGGTACATTGCTGTGTGCTTTTTGTTAATAAATAATCCCATAAAATATAGATATGTACTGTCAATACACTTCTCTTAGGGAAAGTGGAATGGTGTGTTTAGACATGGAGGATTACACAGAAATTTGGTTTAAGTTTCTTGTATTTTTTCTTAGATAGGGGAAAATAATGTCATTTTTTTCCTTTTTTCCACAGTGTTCTTGTCCTTGGTGGGTCAGGTGGAATAGGAAGCTTTGCCATTCAGGTAGTACTGGGTTGTACTGAATCTTGTCAAATGTTATGTTAACAATGCTCAGAGGACAGTTGCAGAACATGTACACACTCAAGAGGGCTTTACTTTCTTCCTTTCTCATAGCTGTTAAAGGCCTGGGGAGCATATGTTGTTAGTACTTGTTCCAGTGATGCTGTTGAACTCGTGGCTGGTCTTGGAGCAGATCATGTAGTTGATTATACTGCATCTAACTTGGAAGATGAACTGAAAACAGCTGGGAGGTAAGAGCTTGATGTGTGCATTGTGTTGCTCAAGATATTTTTCTTTTTTTTTTTTTTCCTCTAATTTATGAAAAGAGTGATATGGACATGAATTTTTATTGGGTTTGAAATAGTAGAATGTAAAAGAATGTAGTACAATGCAGAATTGATAGAATGAGATTCCATAAGATGGTGGACTAGTGAAATTTGGGACATTGAATTTAGCTACCTCGCCTTTGGGGTAAACATAGATGACATAATTGCTACATGCTCATGGGTACTTATTGTTTACAAAGACCAGGAGTTTGAGGATCAAAACATGTCTATTGAACTCACTGAAACAAACATTAATTGAAAGTGTTCATTAAGCCAGTGAAACACATTAACTGAAGTTACAAAACATTCCATAACAGAGTGAAGTGATCTCAAATTTCTGCTTGTTTGTTTTAATAAGATGCATCGTCATTCTCTTGATACTTATGTCAGTTTCCATTTTAGAATCAGAGTATAAGCCTAAAGATAAACAAATTTTTACTCCTATATGATTATCAGTTGTGTTCTTGTAGTCTATTCACTTACAATACTCCTTTCAGCAACATCTCTTATGTAGTGGTCTCTCTTAAGACTTAGGTACTTGTGACTTTAAGCTATTTACAGAATTTTGTTGAACATAAAGTGTTCCATTCTAAGTGCAGTTCATAATAGTCCATGGTTATTCATCTTTTTCATGTGAATTTCCTCATTTTGTTGTCAGCTTTGATGTAGTTCTTGATCCTTTTGGAGGAGATCTGGGCAGGCAGTATGCCAGACTGTTATCAAAATGGAAAGGGTCAATTTTTGTGACATTGGCCCCACCTGTTCTGAACAATACTGATAAGCTAGGTGCTGGTCTAGGACTCCTGTCAGCTGGACAAAATTTGGCATCAACTGCCATTCCAGAGGTAAAATTGTTAATGATTTGCTAGTAGGGAAAAACTTAACCCTCAACTCCTAAGAACTGATTGTCAATTCTCCCCTCTAGCTGCTACACATTTCCTTGTGAATTAGTCAGGAGAATTTGGTGTTAGATCAAGATCATGTAATATGTTTGAGTATTCTTGTTATCTGTTTGCTGGATGATGTATGGATATTATAGGACAAAGTTACCTGTCAATCACTTCTGACAAGTGTTCAACTGGTACAAATTTTACAGCAATTTCGGTCTAAAGTATGTGATTGGAATTAAAGTTTTAGTCATCAATTTATTTTTATTTTGACAATAGTGTTGTTAGCTTAAAGCTATTACAGGGTGATCTGATTATTTGGAACATGAAACTGAAGGGAAATGGTGTTCTGCTTAAGTGTTCATCAGATCTTTTTTAATATAGTTTTTTTTTCATTGCAGGTGCTACGCAGTGGAAATTTAGTTTCTTGGGGTTTCTTTAGTCCAAATGGTCCTGCGCTTGATCACATCCGCTCTCTTTGTTTGTCTGGGATGGTATGTCATTCATATTTAATTCTACATCCATGGAAACTCGTTAGTTATTTTCATTTGATCACATAGGATTTCAGATGAAGGCTTGATAAGGGTATCTGTTAATAATATTAAGTACACAAAAAACCTTAGGGTTGTAATCTTGCTGAACTCACTTCTAATTAGGTCAAAACCATTTTACTTGTGGATATGCACAGCACAGGGATGAGAAATGTAAGGATTTAATGTGCAAATAGGAGCCATAAGAGTCTGGGGAGAGCATGCATCCTCTTAAAGGCAGTGGATTGTTAAATAATGTTAACTCACTTTTTCAATTTCATAGTTCAGAATACTAACCCACTGGCTACCCAAACCCTTGTTAGTCCCTAGAGGTTCAATTCTGTTTCTTGGAATCACAGGCTTTTAGTATAATCACTGTATATTTAATGAGTTCACCACTGTGTCACTTTGACTATTCTCATTTCATCAGGGATTGTGGTGAGTTAGTTGTTTTATTTGCAACCAGCTCATATCAGTACCTGCTAAAATTTGAATAAATATTCACCGGTGCATGGAAATTGATTTAATTTTACAACATTGCACTATTGGGTGGGAGGAACAGAACATAAAGTTGACTAATTCATTTTTTTTGTTTTCATTTCACATGCCCAAGATTAAGCCCATAGTTCAAGAAGTGTTCCCATTTTCAAAGACAAAAGATGCCTATGCAAAATTAGAGGGTGGTCATGCAAGAGGAAAGATAGTTGTCAGTATGGATCCTGTTGATGCAACAGGAGAAGAACCTTCAGTTTGATTTTCATGACTCTTCTGTTCTTAAGTTATCAAATAGGATTTACTGGCAAGGTGTTCAGAGACAAGTTAATCAGTAAATTAACTCAAAAAAGGACCACTTTTTTCCGCAAGTTTAAGAAGAGCCTACGTGCCTTACGACACAAATTCGATTACTTATGTTATCAGAGAGTCGTGTTATTCCCTTAATGGGTTATTTACTTCAGCATCATTGAAGAGATGTTGTTTCCATGACAATCGTATGTACAACAAAAAAAAGAGAGAAAAGCTTGACACCCAACAGTTGGCCTGTGTGTGTTTGTGTGTGTTGGGAGGGGGAGGTTGATATATGCAGTTTTTTACGTCATCTGTATCAAAGCTTTCTATCGGACAGTCGTTTAACAATATCTCGGGCAAAAACTTTATTTCTACATGAATGCTTTACAAGTGCACGGATCCCTCTCATCTACTAACATTTCCATGCCACTTTCATGTCTTCACTTAATAAAGCCAAGCATACTTTAATACTTAATGCCCTTCACCTAATTATAGCACTCAGCTTATAATATTGCTGAAGTAGCCTAGAATAAGACACTTAGTTCAAACACTTGTGTGTGGTGGGACTACCACATCCACTGGACTTTGTTTTCGTCATTAAGTTTTATTCTACCACTGGCAAGCAGTTCCATAGCCCGCGGGTAAGCTCTGTGCTCGGCGGTTTTTACTCTTTCTTGCAGTGTTTCCACTGTGTCATTGTGTTTAACTTCGACTGCTTCTTGAGCCACTATTGCCCCTGCGTCAACCTCTTCCTGTTGAGAACGATAAGTCATCAGATTACTATTAGAGCTACAAATTCCAAGTAAGGAGAAGAAATCAGTTGTTTTAGGACAGCATTTAAATTTCCACTGTCAATTTAAAAATACTTTTGAAAACGTTTTGGCTAAAATGGTTAAGTTAAAATCGTTACAAAAAGTAATCTCGAGGTAACGTTAACGCGATAGCCTGCAAAACAGGCATCATTTATTTCAGTTTATCAGGCGAAGCGTGAGTCGCGCGCCAAGGTATGAGCGCTCCTCACTTAGTACGTGACTCGCACCTCGCGCTTGTCTCCATTCGCCTGAAAAACGCTAAAAAATTACGCCTGTTCTCGAAGCTGTCAACGCGATGAAGCCACGAGAGATTGAACGCAGTGTTTGAGTGAGCGCTGAATGTGAGAGCTAAAACATTACTAAGCGTTTAATTTAGTGTTAACAACTGAGTTGAAAACGTAAATTGGCCACCGGTTAAAAGGCTGACGTTTCGAGCGTCTTGTTTTCTCGTCACCATATTCCCACCAATAGCGTTGCTCCATTTTCTGCATAGAAACCCACACACAACCCAAAATTCCTCCAATCGCTCAGACGAAGGGCTAACGCTCGAAACGTTTGCCTTTAAACTCTTTACGGTGGCCAATTTACGTTTTCAACTCAGCTGTTAACACTAAATTACCTGCTATACTCTCCCACCGACGCAGCACCACCGTTTCTTTGGAAACTTACCCTCTTTATTTATTAATATGCGTTATCCGCTAACTCGCGCATAAGCTTCACGTATGTCCCGGCCAAAGAAGACATGTCTCTGTGTCTCTTGAACTCGGTCCACGACGTGGAAAGTGACATTTAAGTTAAATGCAGAAATACAGGAAGTTGGTGGTGTTCAGTCAGCTTAGGGATAAAATTTTTACTCCTTTTTTAGATAATTTATTCAAAAATCGCATGATATGAGCAATATGTTTTACCTTTAACTTTCAGATCTTGATTTGTTGTACATTGTGATTTTTAATTAAGTTTCAATTATATTCTTAATTCAGTTATTAATTATAATAGTTTTTTTAATTGTAACAATGTTTATAGAGGGCCACAAGTTCATTAGTTTTCAACTATTAAGTGTCACCCTCTTTAAATTAAGTTTGATTGATTCATTAATAGTGCAAAGCGCAAGCCTGCGCTATTCCGAAAAAAAAAAAGCTCTCTTCCACGGCCACGATTTTTTGCTTTTAAATTTTGAGGACTTAAAAGTAAGTGCCACCTGAAAGATAACCACTCCCGAATGTGCGTCGCACTTAGTCGTAAAATAAAAAAAAAAAGCTCAAAACGCCACAGCGTTAAATCAAGCGAAAAAGACAATTCGAAAATAACGAAAGGTTTATTAGTAACAGTAGATTAAATCTGTAATTTTTTTGGTACAGTAGGGAAGGTAATAAAATTCAGTGTCGTGCGAACCGCGCTTACCTCCACAAAGTGAACCGTACACCCTGATATGCGCACACCTGCCTCCAAGACAAGTTTGTGCGCATGCATGCCTTTGAATGAAGGAAGTAGAGAGGGATGAATATTCAGCAGCCGACCACGCCACTTTCGAACAAACTCGCCGGTTACAATTCTCATAAATCCTGCTAAACAAACCAGTTCTACTCCAGCTTCTTCCAATGCTGCATGCACTGCCATGTCAAAATCCAAACGGCTTTTGAAATCTTTGTGCTTGATTACCTGGAAAACAGACAACGGAAATTTAACGAAAACATTTTCTCGCAACCTCTGCAAAGACAGAATATAGACTGGTAAGAAATAACACATGTAACACAAAGCGTGAAAATTTTGGTTAATAGAGAATCTACAAACTGCGTTCCCGCCCGAAAAAACATCTCGGACAATGAAATGCAACAGAACTCTTCATGCGAATTAAGTTCCAATTGCTTTCTTTGCACATCAGTAGCTTTGTCAATTTAATCATCATTATACTGTTGTTATCATCATTACCAGTAACATTGTCATCATTTTCATTATTGCCATCAGCGTTATCGTCATCGTTATCATCACAACCCCTACCATTTTCTAACAGCTCTCAGTTGGTTGGCTAGCTCAGTTGGTAGAGCACTACACCAGTATCGCAGAGGTCATGGGTTCAAATCCTGTAGAGGCGTGAAATTTTCTCATACCTTATTTACACTACTGTTTAAGTAGTGTTCCTTACGGCGAAGATCGCTTTCAAATTCATTTCTTGAACCACAGTTTTCATATACAGTCCGTAAATGATTACCATTTTCATTACTATCATTATCACTGACATAGCTGCTTTGCATTTCACAATTTTTTTCAACGCTTGTGGTACCTCAGACATGTTATGGACAGCTTGTTTGTACAGGTTGTAACAAACTAATCGGATTCACGTTAGGAGAGATTCATCATCAGTTTCTCTGCCTAGATATACATATTAGAAGATGAAGCGGGTATAAAAAGGACGAAAATGAGCCAAGAACACACAAAGCAGTTGAATCAGTTTTCAGAATCAAGCTTACTTTAGTTGGTATACCAGCTGTTTGAGCCCGCGTTAGACCCTGAACTCCAGGCACGTTTGATATGACCACAGCAATCTCTGCACTACTGCCCTCCCGTAAGCTGTGATCGATCAGAGCTTGCAAGTTTGTTCCTGAGCCTGAGATTAGTACCCCTACTTTCATTTTCTTTCTACGCTCCATTACCACGCTGCTTAGTTTTGGTCGTTTAACAGTTTCATTGTCATCCTGGTGTTTAATGTCTGCGCTTTTAGCAGACTCGCACAGCACACTTTCAAGATTGTTAACAATAACTCTGTCAACGTCTTCCCTATTTTCAGTGACCTTTCCTATAATCCAAGCTTTTTCGTTCAACGCTGAAAGATGTTCCATAACCGAAGTAGCAGTGTCTTGACCAACAATAAGGACTGCTCCGATACCGCAGTTGAAAGTCCGCACCATTTCGTGTGTTGCTACATTCCCTTGTCCAAATAACCACCCGAACACTGACGGCATGCTCCAAGAGCTAGCATCAAGTGACACCCCCAAACCATGGGGCAGGACACGAGGAATGTTTTCGATTAAACCTCCTCCTGACAAGATAACAATAGTCAATAGGAACGACAAGATTTAAATTGCAATAAAAATAATGATAAATTGAACTGAAATGAACTGAAGTGAACTGAACTGAACTGGACTGGACAGAACTGAATTGGACTGGACAGAACTGAATTGGACTGGACTGGACTGGAAAAGGACATGACTAGGGTGGAACAAACTAAAAGGGACTTGCTCCACCTGGAAACAGGTACACAAAGATTGACATATGAGAGGGGAGATGAGGCAGAAGTAAGTGAATGACTAGGATATATACTAACAAAATCCTTTCTCGCTGTGTTCTCTTTCTTTCTGAATCCTAAAAGATTGGAAAACTTTTCATTAGCTCCTACCTTTATTTCACAAAGTATGTGAGTGGTAAGAGATTTAGTAGGACAAGACAGTGCAATGACTATCTCCCAAATGGCAGAAAGAGTTAGCAAAGTCATGGGTGCAAGTAAAAATCCAATAAATCTAACCTGTTATATGTGCAAAAGCCTTGATCTTCTCAGCATGCATCAGGGGAAGAAGAGCATGACAGTAAATCTTGGTGGGTGAAAGAAGAGCTTCACCTAATTTAGTGACAGACTGCAGGCCTTCAGTGGTTGGAAAAGGACACGGAGAATCATAACTCAGTCCAGCTTTCTCAATTATTTTCCTGACTAAGCTGAAGCCATTACTGTGGATACCAGATGATGCTAAACCAATGACTACATCATCTACAATTATCTCCTGTGTCCTTGGAAGAACCTTGTCACGTTCAACAGCTCCCACAGCAAAACCAGCCATGTCATATTCTCCAGATAAGTACATCCCTGGCATTTCTGCTGTTTCTCCTATCAAGCAACAATTTGAAAATGAATCATATAACTAATATTGCCATGATGCTTGAAGAATTTCAAAATACATTCAGTATTAAGACATAGAGAGCACTTGTCATCAGAGGCCAATTTATATTTCATCAGTTCTTTCTTGGTAGGAATTATTCTGTGCATAACTTTAAAAGAGAATTGTCCAAGTTTATTATCTTTTGAAGACTTATGTATTGCTCCAATCAGGAAGTTCTGGAAAATGTTTCTTCCAAGACGTTATTGCAGAGGGTTCAGTATCAAGTCTTTTAATAAACTGTTTATAATAATTTGTCAACAAAATTTAGTTGAAACTATTGTTCTTCCAACTGAAAGAATCCCAACGGTGCACCTAGTAGATCAGGGACAGGAGAATCAAGAGCCTTTCTTTTCCAATCTAAAGGAATGGCAACAATTAATTGAAAATAATGCAAACAATTGACATTAATCCAGACTCAATTGAACACACTTTTATACATTGTCAAGAATCAACTGATTTCTTTACGTAAACTTTAGGAAGGTTTCATGATTTTCACAAGACTAAGATAAAACTCTCAAATAGACAAATTGTATTCAACACATTTGAAGACTCCTCTCCTCTATGTCTTCTGATTTTATTGCAAAAGAAATATTTGTATACCTGCAGGGAAACCAAATTTAGATGAATTTCTGAGAAAGTTATTAGAACAGTTCCGTATTGAAAATGGCAGCAATTCTTATTTTAAATGTATGTGGCAACTGACAGATTTTTACTTCAACACAGGCATTTTCCTTTTTTTTTCTTTTTGTGTGAACTATGTCTAATGATTATAAAATACATTTAGTCACTTTGTTATTTTTTACTGATTGTTGTAAATTAACATTTACATTTTATTTCGTTTTGTCTCCAATAAAGTTTTGTTTATTTAAAAAAAAAATAAAAATAAATCATATCACCATGAAAAGTGGCAACATTTTTATCCAGGCTTAACTTATTTCAAAATTCAATTCATTAACTCTTTATCGGCTAGGAGTGATTGCCTTCTAATGTCTCATTACAGTATCACCATCAAATGTGAAGATCACCAGAATAACAGATTTAACAAGCTACTAATTGTCAAATTTGTTCTCCTAGTTAGTATCATTGGAAATGTATTGAGAACAATAAGGAGAATATTACACCAATGTTGGAGTATAAACTAGGGGTTAATTCAATATTGTGGGGATAGCTCGGTTGAGTGATGAGCATGTTGGACTCCCAATCAGAAGAACAGTTAAGAATGATAACTTCTGGTCAGCAACACTGGCAAACCACATGTTATAGTATAAGGAATAGTAGTAGGTTCTTTACAACCCACAAACAAAAAAATTTGTTCAATAAAAAAAAAAAATGATGATTGACCTGGATATTATAAATGACAGTGTTCCCCTAGATCATTGGAAGCGGACATTTTTCCCAGCAATGCCTTTCTGAAGCAGCAGCTATTTTAGTTAGACAAAGCAGTAAAACACCAATCTTCATCTAAATTAAATTTCAACCTTGGCTGGCTACTAAAAAACCTCTGAATAAACCTGAGGTGACAAGTATCATAATTGTATTTCTACCTCCTAGAAGAGCACACCCAGCTTGGGAACAGCCCTGTGCTATACCATGAATCACTTCCTTGGCAACACCCACATCTAACTTTCCAGTTGCAAAGTAATCCAGGAAGTACAATGGCTCAGCACCATGTGCAAGAATGTCATTCACGCACATTGCAACCAGATCAATACCAACTGAGCCGTGCATGCCAACAGTCTGTGCAATCTGCAATCCACAACACAAACACAGTTAATTTCAAACTTAAGACAAAATCGCTTTTCTGCAGATTAAACTATCTTGGCTGGATTCTTAAGGGTTACATTACAAATGAACCAAACTGTAAAGCAAGTTTTCACATGGAGAATTGTTGGTACTCTTAAAAACCAGCCACCTCTCTATAATTCCTTTTTTTTCTTTTTATGAATGTTTCAGTTATCCTTACCTTGAGTTTAGTTCCAACACCATCTGTGCCACTAACAAGCAATGGATCTGAGTAACCAGCAGCCTTGAGATCAAAGAAGCCTCCAAAGCCACCAAGATCAGCTGTACAACCTGTGCGTGCTGTAGAAGCAGCTAGGGGTTTGATCGCATTCACCAGAAGGTTGCCAGCGTCTATGTTCACTCCAGCACCAGAATAAGTCAGGGCTCTAGCTCTGTTCAAGTTGGAGTGAAATGTGAAACTATATTAACAATAATACATCCAAGATTTAGTAGAATGTTTAGAAAAACATGTTTCACTTCTCTGGCATACATCACTCAACCATTATATTTGGGCAGTCCCTCTTGATAATAATTTCTTTCACTACAGTTAGCCAGTTTGACAACAGATGAACTGTTTAAGTTAGTTGTCCTGCTCAAGATCAACTCAGAATGAAATGCCTAACAGTTTGAACTAAGAACATTAGCAGAGCATTAGTCCACAACTACAGAGAGATGACAGGGACAACTATAAGGATGACAGGGAGAAATAATATATAGATTTAGGCAAGCCTAAAAGCAGAGCTAGCATTTTTTTTCCCCCACATATCTCTTCAACATTGTATAATTATGGGGCTATGCTCTGCGAGCTCCGCTATGAGTTACTTGTCAGGGGCTAGAAGGGATCAAGAACCACAACTTGCAAAAGGTGCAAAAGATGAGTCTATTGCACTAAGTAATTTTCATCTTCACTCTTGCACAACACATAACTATGCAATTATGGAACTGAGCAAGTAAGAAGTCCTTTGTTTATACACATAATAAATATTATATAAATCATGTCCAAAATCAATATCCATTAACAAATGCTAAACCACTGTACTTGCAAGCTCTAGATGCAATATCCTTCCTGTACTGAATCCCCTCAAACGCAATCCTCTTGATACTATCATATGCTGTTTTCTGAGCATCTTCTATTCCTGAGGCCATGCCAACAACTGCCATCACCCTTCCGCCAGAAGTAACTAAAGCTTCCTCATCTTCTTTCCTTTGGATGGCTGTCCCAGCATGAAACACCACTACATTATTTAGACCCTTTGTGCATAAATTACAAATACAAAATTACCTTGGATTAAAAGGTGACTAATAAAAAGAAACTAATTTAATTACTTGACTTTAGTTTGATCACTGTAAGGGATGAAGAAAATTGCTTTAAAGATTAAAGATAATCTTGAAATATGCATTGTTAAGTATAGAGAGAAAACATGGATTGCAAACTAAAAAATCCTCACATCCTTCATAGCTAGTATTTCATTGAATTTAATAACCTACCATGTTATTATTATTACCCAAAAGTAGGGTGAATGTTAACATCTTATTTGACAGTTTAACATATAACACAAACAAGTTTGTCCCTCAAAAAGTCAAGCTTCATGTAAATGAATATTAGCAAGTTTTAGTTTAGATCGTTTAGTCAGACCATTTTGTTGATTTGCTTTCCATCTTCATTTCTGCCCTCTTCTACAGTGTATTACAGTGTATTTGTGCAGTCCCTTGACTTTGTCAATGCAATATTTCCAAAGCAGGAGGTGGATAATAATAATTATTGTTTAGAATTGGCACTGTCACAAACTAGCATAATAATAAGGACAACTATGTACATGTACTTCTCACTAATTTCTTCCAAAACGCCAAAAAAATGCATGGTGGTCATTTCAAAATTATGCTGAATGATAAAAGCAATATGGTAGACAATACTTAACCAATCAGAGTAAATGCATCTCCATATTCACCAGCACAATGTTACATGTGAAAACAAAACTAACCTCTAAGTCTTTCAATCCCTTGATGATGCACCCTTTCTTCACTGAACCAGGATATCCACCACTAGCTGCAACCACACCCACTGCAAACCTGTCTGTGTGCCACTGGGGTAAGGAAAGGCTAAGCTCACCATTTACACATTCCATAAGGGTTGCATAGAGATCACTCTTCAGTAATGGCAATATAACCTGTGTCTCTGCAATAGGGAAAAAATCAAACTTAGTTAATGTCTAGTCCCAGAGGAAAGCAGTCAGCAATATCCCTGACAGTCCAAATGTTTTCCTTGAGAGAGACTGGAGTCTCAAAAGTTGAGAAAGACTGACTTATCCAAGGACAGCACTCTGATTAATCAATAGTTCCCAAAAGCATTTTTTGTCACTGAGAACACCATCTACATATTCTCCACTTTTTGAAACATGGGAATATTTCCTCTCACCTGGGTCACCAAACCGACAATTAAACTCCAGAACCTTAGGTCCATTGGCTGTCAACATCATTCCAGCAAACAGAACTCCAACAAATGGACACTCTTCTTCTCGTAAACCATCAACTGCCTTCTGAAGAACATCTCTGGCAATTTCTTCCTTCAGATGCATGGAAACCTAAAGAGAGTTTCAAAAACAACACAAGAAATTTACTTTTAGAGCTCATCTTTCAGTTTCATGAGCAGTGTGCACACAAAGATCTTTTCATGATGTCTTACAGGAACAATCCAGAGAGAGAAACAATTCTTCTGGTTCCTCATGATAACAATACCAAGTGAAACCCTGGCAACAATGGATGCATTCCTTATGACTTGAAAATACCTTTTAAAAAAAGTAAACTTGTGTCATTTGTGTTAAGATTCTCTTTGTCAGTTTCATTGCAAATGTCCAGAGAACAGTGTGGAAAATGTGCATAATAATCTTAGGGTGTAAAGGATTAAACAAGGTTTCTCGGTGAAGTTTTCTGAACTGCACCATTTGCATGTCTACTCCTGGGTGAACAGACACATTGCTAGACCATTTCCATGTCTATTCCTGGGTGGACAGACACATTGCTGGAGTTGAGTGCCAAGCTAGACCTTTTCAATTGGAGTCTGAAGTGTGGGGAATCTCTCTAACATACCTGGGGACAGGGTGCATATGCACCCATTCCTCCTGTATTAGGACCCTGATCATTGTCCAACAAGCGTTTATGATCTTGAGCAGGCGGCATCACAGCAATTGTCTTACCATCAGTAAAACAGAGTACCTGCAACAGATACACTCACAATGGCAAATTCCCTTTACTCATCAATTTATCCTTAAATAACAGTGCTGCTTTGGAAAACTGAAGTATATCCCCCTGTGCAAAAGGCAACTTGATGAAAAATTGAGCTTGGAGCCCTAAATACCACTCTTTGAAAGCCCTTAGAAATTCATAAGCACCCTGGGCTGGGTTGTTTAATACATGATTAACCTAACCTGGAGTTACTGCAAATTTTTAATTTAGTTTAACAGCTTTGCAAAAGGATTTTTCTTTTGCATTTTTTCCTGTTAGGATCGAGTCATATCGAGATAAACCCCGAAAAAACCTTAGCTCTTGTACCCCTCTCCTCTACACCAGAAATTAAAGCCAGGGTTAACTTTTAATCCTAGATTAATGTTAAACCCCTTTCGAACTGGCCCCAAAGGCTTATTAGAGTGTTTGAGCTACAACTTAACCAGGCAGACAAATTCAATATGCCATGTGACAATAAGTGAATGCAACCGATTCAGCACTTCAAAGACAATGAGCATAGCACACCCTTTGAACAAATCCTACTGCTCATTAATTTTTAAATTATCAATGATACATCAAATCAACACTTACAGAAACTTCCTCTCCTTCTAATTTTTCCTCTATGACTATTGTTGACCCTGCCTCACCAAATATCTTGTCCTGTACAGCAGACAAAAAGTACCTTTTTTTGTTATTCACCTTTTTCAGAACAAAATATTCAAAACACCATCAAAATTCCTACTGTTTCGAATTATCAACATGAATTGAGTACTTTGTACATGAAGAGTGATTGGGCAATCCCCCCCCCCCCCCTGCCCCCTTACCTGTAGCATTTCTCTGACAGCTTTGACAGCCTCTTCTTTGCTACTGGCAACAACCACACCTTTCCCAGCTGCTAAACCACTGGCTTTTATCACTAGAGCTTCATAATCAGCTGATTCAATATGTTGAAACGCTTCCTCTGGATCTGTGAAGGCCTTCCAGCGCGCGGTAGGAATACCGTAGCGCAGCATGAACTCTTTGGCGAACTGTTTGCTTGCCTCAATCCGTGCAGCCCTGCGACTTGGGCCAAAACATGGAATTTTCATATCACGCAGCGCATCTGCTAAGCCATTAGCTAGTGGTACTTCAGGTCCTATGATAACAAAGTCTATTTTGTTCTCTAAACAATATTTAATGACGCTTTCGTTGTTGTTACAATCGAGAGAAGGGATATTCTGTGTTTTCGGTTGTAAAGAAATTCCCGCATTGCCCGGTGCAACAAAGATTTGTCCAACATGATTTGATTGGGAAAGCTTCCATCCAATAGCATGCTCCCTTCCTCCACCACCGACCAGTAAAACTTTGTCTCCCATGCTGTACTTCAAGAAATCAAAGATCAAAGAAATCACAGTTCTAAATCCACGTGCAGGAGATAGACATTGTGTGCGCATGCGCATTCTTTGGCGCGCTCGGCGTCATTTTAATATTTTTAGCGCGCTTCTACTTTTTGTGGTATTTTTTGGAGAGGGATGAAAGAGTATGACAAGTTTACCAACAATCCTAACTCTGCGGATACTCGTGGTGTTTTCAAGCTCTTCGGATGTTTTAATGATCAAAGTGCGAACGAAATGCGAAAAAAGCCCGAAAACTTTAAGTTTGAGATTGGATTTACTGTGGTAATTAAATTATAGACTGTACGATTTTACGCTACTATCTGCGTCGGTGTATAAACTGCAAGATTTTAAGCCGTTAACTAACGGGATAAAATCTCTCAGTATGTATATATATCGACTGGAAGAATTTACGCCGTTAGTTACTAGCGTATAATCTCACATACATTTATAATACCGACTGGAAGAATTAACGCTGTTAGCTACTGGCGTAAAATCTTACAGTATATACATTACCGACTGAAAAAAATTAGGCCGTTAGTTACTGGCGTAAAATCGTACAGTATAAATGTTGTGGTTCAATTATATCCTTGGTGCAAATTTTAATTTCTTTTGTTTCAAACTCATTATCCTTCATTACAATACCCAAAAACAAAGGAAAATGAAATTTGAACCAAGGATAAAATTGAACCACAACATACACAATACCGACTGGAAGAAATTACGCTGTTAATTACTAGCGTAAAATCTTAATGTATACACAATACGGACTGAAAGAATTTACGCCGTTAGTTACTAGCGTAAAATCTGACAGTATATACGTTACCGACTGAAAGAAATTACACCGTTAGTTACTGGCGTAAAATCGTACAGTATATATATTTCCGACTGAAAGAAATTAAGCCGTTTCTTACTGGAGTAAAATCTTGCGGTTTATATAGAGGGTCTCCGATAGGTTTAAAATTTGAGGTCCGGGATTGCACTCGTTTAAAGTCCAGGATCCGGGCATTTAAAGTAAGAAGGGAACGAGATGCGGGATTGCTATTATTAACAGGACACGGGAATCAGCAATTTTGAGAAGCAGGATTCGGGAAATAATCTCTTAAACGAACCGAGAACCGGGATGTCCGCTGACGAGAATTTATGAAGAAATTGATCTTCTCAGTCATGAAAAGCACTAGGCATACAGGCTCTCTAGCAGTCAAGAGGCGAAGGGCTGCTCAGCGACTCTCTTCAGTTAATGCGCGGGAATGAAAATTATATCAGAAGCGAAGTTGCCAATTTGTCAAAAATCCTCAATGGCCCACAGGGAAACGTGGTCTAAGACTGCTGCGTCAAGTGAAATGCTTAACGGCGTTGAAAAACCTCCTGCAAGTCTCAGAATTATACCGATATGCTGCTCTTAACCTGTCGAGTTACATGACTTTAGATGTGAAGAATATTCACTCGGTTGTACATCACAAAGATAAACTTTTCACAGTGTTAGACTTCCCAAGGAACTTTGGAAATATAGCCTAAGAAGGCTTAATGAGGAAAACCCATTGGGCGGCGTTCTATTTAACAAATCCAAATTCTTGGTATCCTGTACCCGAACGTGCCAGGATCCTGTCGGCCATACCAGCAATTCAACCGTTACCACCTGACAGGAAACAACGATGGCAAGAGCTCGAACTTCCCGTCGTACCACTACCAGAGAGAAATTCAGCCAGTCGAACCCGGTAAGCTTCGAACAGTCTGACTTCGAGGAGCAGGAAGAAAACAGCGGTAAACAAAACGAAGAGGAAGGTGGAATATTGGAGTACGATTCCCCGGGTGATGATGACATTCCATCTTTGGAACGAGAGACTGATTTTACCTCGGAAGAGGTTCTTGCTTCGGGAGAAGTATTCGCTGTAACAGCAGAATTGTGTTCAGTAATTATTTCTTTATTTCCGTTGGTATGGAACCATGGGATTGCCGTGACCTTTGTGTTTTATGCACTTGTTGAAATTGTTATTCGTTTCTTTGATACTGACCTGCCTGTACGTTTGTCCGTGATCGAAGTTTAATGAAAGGAAGTCATTACCGTGACTAGCGTACGTTATTCGTGCAAAACTTTGAAAACTTCTAAAATGAACAATGTCATCATTTTGGTGAAAAGAGATAAACTCACGCCTTATGGTGACTATAGACTTCAACTGATTAATGCTGGTTAAGGAAATCGTCACCCACCGGAAAGGCCCTTCTAAGTTTAGGAAATAGGCTAAGACAAAATTATACCGCTGACAATAGGCCAAAGTGATCCTGGGCTCGAGATTGATGGCCTTCGTCATGTTTAGCTACCAAGCCTTTCAACCGAATACAGGTAAGCTGGGGAGTACTTCGTGTAGAGTCGTTGCCGTGGAAACAACCCGGCCGCAATCAAAAGTCACGTGACGAGCTCTTAGCAAAAGGAATATAAAATCGAAATGAGTTTAAAGTGGTCAATGTCGGGTCATGTTTCAGGTGCAGTTCCGTGAAATTTTGGTGAATTTTCAACTCAGATACGTCATCAGTGATGATTAGTCTTATGGCAAACTGTTTTACTTGGGTGAAGAGGAGAAGGGAACCTTCAAAGTACGTTTTAACAGAGTCTGATTTACATTGTGACAAAAAATAGTGTTGATGTCGAAATATTGTGGTCGAAAATGTGATTTCAAGTGATCAAACCTTAGATGCATCTTTCTGTTCTTTCTTCAGGAAAGTTACCCTTCTTATGGTGGGTTTAGATAACGCAGGGAAAACGTCTACTGTAGCTGATCTGACGGGAGGTAGGAAAGTAAAATTACATTTAATTTTATAATCTATTCTTGGCGGTAGTTCCTCGTACCATATGAGTTTGTAGTTACTAAAATCAGCTGCCACTTCCTGATGACATCCGAGTACATTCATAAACGTTATGAGAGGAAAATATTGGTTTGTGGCCAACCATAGTAGAGGCACGGTTAGTAAGGGTTATTGAAAGATACTTTTTCGTGGTGATGGAAGTTTCTAGTCCAATCCGTGAGCCATTTTGACGAGGTTTCCTCTCTAGTTATTATCTGAATTGGGCCGATCGGCACCCAGCATACACGAGAACCCTCTTGGGGAGCTTTTAATAAATTTATACTTATGTCATAATTTTGTTTTCTATAGTCACAGTCTAAATCAAAATAGGAAAATGGGACATTTTTATAATGTTTAAGTTGGGGTTTCTGTGAGGAAACTAAAAATTTTCTGCTTTTCTAAATGAATCTTTACAGACTGAACAAATTTCATAGTTAAAGAGAGCTAACTGCAAGAATTTGGTTTAGCTGCCTAATATGTTAAAATGTTGGGGAGGCTCCAAATCTTGAATTCTCTGTCTCCTTGATAAGATAAGCAGAATCCTGCCTGCTTTCTATTAGGTTCTTACTTTAAATCAATTGGAGAACAGACTCATAGCTAAGGTCACCATGAACAAAGTTTTCCATTTTTATCATAGAGACAAATAGATTCTATCCCACAGTGGGTTTGTACCATGATACATTATTGAAGATGTCAAAATGTGGTGAGGACATCAGTAACACACTTGGCTGTTTTGTTGTCACCACATTTTGACATCATCCGTAACCTATTACTGAACACATGCATGGCAACTTGAAATTTTTAGGTTAAAGGTTTAGTACTAAGAGATTCCATTTGAGGCCTAGAAATTAGCACTTGTGTGAAATGAATATTATTTTCTGTATTAATTATCCTAGATGTACATGCTTTCATAGAGGAAAACTCATGACTGCACTGGTCTACAGTGACGTAGTTGTTGCTGGATTTGATATTTATTTGATTCACAAATAATGTTTACTTGTGTTGTATTCTCTTTGCAGAGTCCACAGAGGGAATTACCCCAACAGTTGGCTTTTTGAACTCATCATTTTCATTGTATAGATTCAGTGTGACAGTATTTGATGTAGGAGGTGGTGCTAAGATTCGTTCAATTTGGAAAAATTATTATGCTGAGGTCAGAATCTACATTATCAGTTAATGAATTTTTCTTGCTATTGAAATTTTTTGTGTGATTGAATTTTAAAATCTATAGAGTTTATTACATTAAAATCTTTTTAAAGTCTTTTATGGATTGATTAATTTCTTTTTCATTTTTGTTTTGTAGTCATATGGAATAGTATTTGTGATAGATGCCAGTGACACAACTAGGCTAGAGGAAAGCAAGAAAGCTCTTTATGAAACAGAGATGCAACCCCGTGTAGCAGGAAAACCTTTACTTGTGTAAGAAGACACTCCAAATTATGCTTATGAATATTTAACAACCTGTCACACATGTATGGTTTTTTCTGTTTTCAAGACTGCAACACATATTATTACTTCTCCCCTGAATGGTATGACCAGTCCTGTTAACATCCCCTCCCCCCTTCCCCCTTCCTTCCTGCCCCCCACCCCCTTCTCTAGCAGTTTGTCAAGTTTAAAAGTTTTCTATGACCCATATACAGTATGCCCCTGGGTCTAGAATCTGAAGCATGGACAGTTACTAGCTCTCTTACTCAAGAACACGACACAGAGTCCCTTACTAGAGCTAGATCATAAACCTTTCTTTTTTTGTCACAAGCACTTTTGGACAATTTTACATTGTAATACATTCTTAAGTTAACATTCTTTATATTTCTGTGACAATGTAATGGCTAAGAAAATCAATTTAGCCTTTTTTTTACACAAATTGTTAACTCATCTTAAATTTTCTTTGTATAAAGACTTGGAAATAAACAGGATAAGGAGGGAGCTCTGAATGAAAATGAACTACACAGGCAGCTTGAGCTAGACACACTTGCTGAAAAATACAGTTGTCCATGTAAAGTGGTAAGTTATTACATTCAGGTTATTTCTAATTGTGGTTTTTTGCTAGCATTATTTGAAATAATTTTTTTTTAAAGATGTTCTAATTAGATTATTTCTTATCTTTCACCAGTTTTGTTGTTCAGCAGTACTTGGTAGAGGAAATAAAATAGATAGACAAATTAAAAAAGGTGAGTTGAAAACCATTTGTAAACATGTTTATGTGGAATTTTTTTATAGAAACTGTCAAACTCATAAACATATTTTTATAACTTGGTGAGTAATTCAGTACTTCTTCCCTCAAATTTTTTGCATTCTTAAGGATGATATAAATAAGAAAATTGGCAGCCCTGAATAGAAAGAAAGGATGCTTGGGAAATCTAAAAAGATCACTTATGTCTAATTGTTCTTGTTTATATGATATCTATAGGCTTCCGATGGCTCCTTGCTGAAATATCCAATGATCATGTCAATCTGTCGAGAAGAGTGGAGAAAGACATGGCTGAACAGGTGATTATAACCATCTCAGTCATAGAATTTATTTTTTCAGCAGGCATCTGGCAGGGCGGTATGGCTATTTCTTGCCTGGTCATGCCATTCTGAAGGGCTCTCATTGGGAGAGGGGTGGGGGGCATTTTTGTCTGTTGTCTACAATAAAAGCTCATATAGGGAGGATTGGGTCATTTGAGAATTACTGTGTGGATGACATGATGGCTCTGCCGGAGAAAAACATTCTGAGAGCTAAGCTGAAAAGGAAGAAAGGTTTGAGTGGGGTACAGCCCTTTTAAACCTCAGTACCTTAACCTTTTTGTTCTGTCACTACACTCTTTTGTTATATTTAGAAACTGATTGCCTGAAACTTGCTAATCTGTGGCTAACTTATTAGTTAACGTCTAGTTTCTAGCAATTATTATCTAAAATAATGACTGAATCATTTCCTTGTTAATTGCAGAAAAAGGCACAGGATGAAGAAAGAGAGCGCAAAAGAGAAAGAGTTAGATTAGCAAGGGAGGCAAGGTTGGTGGTAGAGGACTTATGTGTGCGAGACATTAACTTTGCCATCTTTTTTCATTAGATTTTGTTATTCTTGTGATATTAAATTTGTTTTTAACTATTACCTTAGGGAGAAAGCTGAAAGAGAAGCTGCAGAAAGAGAGAAACAGCAGGTGGAGGAGTCAGATGATGGTGTTGTTGTTAGCAAGGTGAGATACTTAGAAAGCAGTTCTTTACCATCATAGGTACTTAAGCCCCTATTTTTAGTCATCAACAAAAGAGGCCTCATGTGACAAGCAGTAAATAAGTTATGATATCGTTCTGATGAAGGTAGATTTAGAATTTAATACTGGTCAAGATTGTTAGTGGGTACATGATCCGTGCTAATGCAGATTGATGCATAATTATATGTCATTTCATTACGCAAAATTAAGACCAGATTGGGTGTGGTATTTCATCCAAGCATCTGAACTTAATTCTTTTGGTCTGAAATCAGGACAAAAAGAAGAAAGACAGAGACACACCAGAACCTCAAACCTCATCCAAGAAAAAGAAAAAGGGGAAAGAAAATAATCATGAGCCTGATGCAACAGAGAAAGGGAAGAAAAGTAAGAAGAAAAAGAAAACAAAACAGGATGAGGACATGGTGGATGGACAAGATACTAGAAATGTATGTTCATGATGGAAGCATGTGCCTTTGTTGTAACTGTGAGAGTATCTATAGGGTTCAAGTACTGAGGGGAACTTGGAAGGAATGTGCACATGTAACTTTTCAGTTGTGTCTTTTTTTTCCAAACAGATGGAAGACCAAACCCTCAGTAATCCTAGTCCACTAGAAGAGCACTTAATTGAAGATAGGTCCAAAACTTGTGATGAAACAATAGAGCATTTACAACAAGGAGGTTGGGGTGAAATGAGAGAAAGTTTGCCTGTACATGAAAATACTACACCAGAGGATAGTGAAGTAAAAACAAAAAAGAAGAAAAAGAAAAAGAAAAAATTAAATAAAACAGCTCCAATGGAAGGAGAGGAAACAGAACTTCCACCACTCAATGCTTGGGGAACTCCACCGAGTACATTAAATGGATTTCCAGGAAGTAGTGGGGTATCTCCAAGAAGACTAGAGCCATTGGGGCTACCTCGTACATCAGGTACTGTGAAAGAGACCCTTGTGATGTAAACAACTCACAGATTGCCATGTGAATATCTTAATTAGTATAGAAAACTGGGCAATAGGCTGACACAGACACCACTTCCTTGGCATAACACTGTAATTGTTTTCTTCTTATTCAGTCTGTGGGCTTCTTCCTGTGTCAGTCTATATTTAATGATAATTCAGATAGTAGTCTTGAGTTAAGATAAACATGTGGAGTTTTTATTGAAGCAAAAAGGCTAAAATTTACTCAAACTATACCTCATCATGAAATAACTCTACCTTAATTTTTTATTTCTTTATGTATTGTATTTTCTCAGGAAACAAAGCCATACCTTCGTTATCAATCCCAGAAGGCGATGAGGTAAATTTTGCAAAGATTCACATTCATAACTTCAATTATTGAAATTCTTAAATAGCAAAGAACTTTTCTTCCCATGAGAGGCATTTATATTGAGTACTGCTTCTGAACAAACTCTTTAAATCGAACATATTATTCCAATGTGTCTATAATTATACAATGACAACGACTTATTTCTCCACACAGGAACCAAACAGTCTTCCTCCTATTCGAGGATCATCGTGGACAAGAAGCAGACCAAACAGTGAAGATTGTGATGTGGTCACATAGAATATTACAATTCTATTTTTCTCGGTCACATTTAAATCAACACTTATCTTGATCATTTACAATGCGGCTCAGTCAAATTAAACTTGAAAGCCTTCAGGTTGTTGCTTGAACTTTTCCCCACTGTCGTGGAAAGATTTTCCTCTCAGGGAGGATAATCTTTATATTTCTGGGAAAACCTTGTAATTTGACTCCTGATGGCAATTGGGTCAAAAATGGGTCACAAAGGTCCAAAATTCTCTGATTTAGCTGAGCCGCATCTAAAAACATGTCACATATTTGGTGAAAATTTTATTTTTCCTGTAAATACACATTTCTTGTCTGTTTTTATAGAGAAAAACACCGCATCATATTTAAGGAAATATTGCAAAGCAATATCTAAGCATTTCCACCTCAATTATATTAAGACTATATACAATTCATGTATCCTCATTGTATCTCCATAGCATTGAGATAATTTTGTAAATACCAAAGAAATCCTCTATTAAAGTGAATTATCTTTACATTTTGTGTTATGTGGTCAACTCCCCTTTCCTTGTTGTTCGGTTTTTCATGAGAGTAAGGCTCATTTAGGTTAGAAAAATAAATGTGGATTCACCTTAACCTTTTAACCCCTATGTGTAGTGGCTAATTTCTCTTTGCATTGTCACTGTTGAATTAAGATCACAAATATATAAAGAAATATATGAATTGAGCTAAGGAAAAAACAAGAGACAACACTTTATCGTGACAAGCCTGTTTCGTGATTAGATTATTCTTTGGAAGCTACTTCTATATAATTATTGAACACTGTAGTACGGAAAAACGAAAACATAGACTTCCTTGTTAAAAAAAAATTATATATATATATATATATCATCAACTCAAGGAGTTTCTGACTGATAAAGAAATTTTCCTTGTCAGTACCATACGAAATTTATGGTTTAACTACGGACACGTTCACGGTATCATACATAACGTAATCGTAACAAGTCTCGCTCTCGCTCCCACTCCCGCTGAGATTTGAAGTTTGTTTGGTTTGCTGGGCAAAAGGATTTTTTCGAAGCTGTTATTCTAACGTTTAAGCCATAATGAGCCGTGAGAAGCCATCTGTGTTGATAGACATTATTTCTGACACCGTCTGACCATGGTAAGTACTGGTAAAATCGATCAGGATTGAAATGATGAGTCATTCTAAGCGTTAACAATTCAGTGAAGCGCAACACTCGTCAGCTGCATGCCCTGCCGTCAAATCTTGCAACGAACGAGAAGAAATTGCTGTGCGAAGCCGTGATTAAGACGAAAAAAACTTATATCGTGATTAGGAAAAGGAGAAGTAAATTCGATACAGAAAACGGGATTTCACGGGCCTCGGCAAAATATGCTTTAGATTGTGTTGGAAATCGTTTCCAATTAAATCTTCGCCCTTGGCGCTCACACAATTGCAATTTTGGGGAAGACCTCAAAAACGCTCTACAGATTGCTAAAAGATACAGGAAACATCCCAAAATTATTCAACGAAAAAAATCTGATATTGGTCAATTTGCACACGGAGAGGTGTACAAAATTGAAAATCAGTGGGTGAAGAACTGTAGAAGAAAGGGCCTCTTAATTTATTCATGGAATCCTGTTGTGCCTTTCTTAATTCTTGAAAGCATTTTAAGTGGCCCTGTATTCCTTAAGCTGTACTACATTTGGTGATAAACTTTTAATTTGCTCTCCCAAGGCCTTAATATTCCCACACTACAGAGCAATGTCAGGCTACATTGCGTTTTAAAAAGATTAGCATCTAATTGTTTTTTTATTTGTGGAATATCATGTTTGTCACACTTTTGTCAAATAGAATGATCATATCCCTTTGTTTTCCTTCAGGTGTTTTGTTGGAAAACGCCATCTGGAGGAGGCCATGAAGGTGTTTTCCAACGACTTGTCATTTGTGGTGACATGGAAGCCTTTCTTCCTGAACCCTACAACTCCTGAGGCTGGTATACCTCTCATTCAATACCTGACACAAAAATATGGACCAAGGGCAGGTGCCATGGCCAAGGATGGGACTAGTCCTCTGACAAAAGCTGGGTTGAATGTGGTAATGATTATAACATCATTTTTGGTATCTAATGCCACATCAAATTTGGAGCTCCCACATTTTAAGAAATAGAGTACCAAAACAAGCCCAAATTAGTTTCCTACTTATTTTTTAGAACCCCATCTACCCATGGATATACTGAGACTTTAAGGCTAATAATGCCCCCCCCCCTCCCTTAGATAAGCACAAAAAAAAAAAATTGAGCCAAAGCAGAACAGGTAATGAACAACTACAATCATGTGAAAATTCAAGCTGCAGTGGCCAATTATAAGAGTGCCACTGAAGATCAAAAGCTCCAGATTCTAGCCATGATTATATCTTTTGTTCGTATCCTGGAGCAAGACACTTGACTGTCACAGATAACCCTCAAGTAACCATGTGACCCCAAAGAGTGACCAGCATCAAAATTCTCCTTACAATATTATTCCTGAATTGTACTTTAGGATGACAAGAATAAGGGAAATGATCATTAGCTAAAGAAGCTTTTGATTGTTAAACAAATTCTCCTTGTCAGTACAATAGGAAATGTATAGAGAACAGTATGGAGAATATGCATACTGATGTTGGGGTGTAAAGGGCTAACCACACAGGAGTACAAAGTGTTAGGTATCAACAAACAGTCAGGGTAGTGTACAAATTAGTGGGATGTCACTGCCTATGTTGGATGATTATGGTCCAGCAGAGTACTAATTTATCTTATGTTCTTCTTTCTCATAATAGGGCATCAATTTCACAACAGATCGTCTCATAGTCAACACTTTAAAATCTCATTGTATGCTGGATTATGCCAAGTCAGAGGGGAAGCAAAATCTTCTGGCAGAGAACCTTTTCAAAATATATTTTGAACAAGGAAAGAATATCAATTCTACTGATGTTTTGGCACAAGTTGCAGTAGACACTGGGCTCAACATAGATGCTATGGAAAAGTGAGTATCTTTGTCGATAATCTTACCCCTTTCCTACATACAAAAGATTATTGAAATATGATTTTAATACTAAACTTAAGTATGCTCATTTCCTTGGGCATGAGCTGTTTTGTTATTATTTACTTGACTAGTTGTTGTATTTACTTTTTAAGATGTTACCACACTTCATATGTCCATATTACTACGTCGTACATAGTTTTTTCAATGCTTGCCTTTGTGCATAGGTCATTTGTTCAGTCAGTGTAATAATAATTTCTCATTAGTAAATGGTTTGAACCAAGGGGTAATATGTGATAGTGGAGTCTGATAGTTGGGTTTAACAAGTCAGTAAAGCCTCTTCATATGAGCCCCATTGATCAGGCAGGCCTGGTTTTCAATATCTCAGTGCATCCCTAATTCTCTTAAAAAATCCTGATGTGTTAATATGAACAGGTGATCTGGCCTCGGATCCTGAGATCTCGGTTTTTCCCTGTAAGATCTCAGGAACCAGGCCAGAAATGTTTTTAGCCCCTTCTCTCATTTAAGTACACAGATTGAAATTTCTCACATGAACCCAAGACAAAATTTGTCTTGGTTAACAAGCCAGCCTAGTCAACTGGGCTCATGTGAAGAGGCCCTGAGTCATTTATTAAATCCTATTCAGTCTCTCATTTTATAAATTTCCTATGGAAAACATATTTGGTTTTTAAGTCCAGTTCATGTTCTGAACAACACTCATTATTTTATTAGCCAGTTGTTAACAATGTTTGCATCTTATTTAGGCACCTGAAGGACAAATCAGTTGTTTCACGAGTGCAAGAGGAAGCCATGGAGGCTCATGATGAAGGAGTCCATGGAGTGCCTTTCTTCAACATCCACCTTAAAGGAGAAAGCCAGAAGATTGCTGGATTCTCAGGTGCACAACCACCTGAGACATTCAAGAGTATCTTCCAGCAGCTGCTGAATAGATTCAAAGCTAGTGTTTAAGGTCACACTTCTGACGTAGTTCTACTCTTTTGCACATTGTTAGCTAATAATACTTTTGAAAAAAGAAGCTTTTAGAGCAAGGGTTTTTTCAGCATTATGGTATATATATAATCAAGAAAAAAAGAAAAGTCTTCTAGGTTACTCAAATCCAGTTTCTGTGGCAATATTTTGACCACTTTCCTTCTGGTTAGCTTGGCTTGTGCTCATCCAAAGCCTGGATATCTTAAGAGACCAGGCATTGTCTTCTGAAAACTTACCTTTGTTTTAATGCAAGGCTGCTAACTCTTCTAGTCTTCTTGTACTTGATGAGTTCATGTGTCTAACATGATTACCTTTGAGAAAACCTATTCTCAAGGGTTTGATGATAAGAATCACAAGGAATTCAAGACAGTACAAGACAATTGAAACTTAAAACACATTTCAATACACGTTGTATGACACAGTTTAGGCCTACAGTGATATGTTATTTCTTAAGATGGATGTAGTTAGTTAAAATTTCAAAAGAATGCAAAACCCATTGGACCAAGCAGACTGTTTTAACTAGTGTAGTGGTTAGAAAGCTGTAATGTTTTATGAGGCTTGGAACAGTAATGTCAGTGAAGGTCTGTGACTAAATGATTATCTTGGGATAAATTTGTGGTCATTCTAAGATTTGATGTTGACTGTCACAAAGATGTGCAGGGTGTTTGTGAGTGGCCTCACGTTAAAATTGATTTGTAAAGGGACTTTTGCACCAGTCATTGGGCATATGAAAGTAACTGTAGACTTAATGTAGATGACAGCTTTGGAGTAAAAGTGCTTGCTAAAACTTCAGTGTTGCCTTAATTAACTAAATTTCACTCTGAAGAAGGGCTAATGCTCAAAGTGTCAGTTTTGAAACTCTTAGCAGTGGCCAATTTATATTATCAACTCAACTTTTACAACCAAAATCATCTTGCAAACAGTAGGTCAGCCATGCCATGGCACTGGGTCATATAGAAAATGGCTTGTTCAAATAGTTTGTAGAAAACGTGATGCTTCTATCTGGACACAGGATCACCAAGGGCATGTGATTTAAATGACCATTTTCAAGCATGCAACCAGTTCTGACAAAGAGGGGTAATATTTCCCCCAGCCCCATCTTAATCAGCTTATTTAGTGTAAAGTACCACTAGTTTGTGGAACATGCCACTGGAATCGAAATCCTGTCAGAAATAGAGTAGAGTGCAATCTCGTTCGCAGCCAGTTCTACCTTAAGTAAGTGATAAGGAACCTGACTCTTCTTCCCATTCCACTCCAAAACCTACGGTTTGGGGAAATGAGAGAGCCTGGGCTCTATGAAGCTGGAACTCATGGTCCCGACGAACTAAAACCCTCATTCCCCAACCTCCCTTCCCCTTCCCTTTATTCTCCCCTGCCTGCTACAGTCAAATATAAAACAAACACAACGTAAAAACATCGACTCACCTTAGATATGAAATTTTATTAAAAAGTATATAATTATGTATTCACTTTTGAAGAGCGCGCGCTCATCTCTTC